CAAGGAATTCTGAATGTTGCAGCCACATGAAAAAGTCAGAATTGACTGTTTTTTCTTACGTCTTATCAACCCTTTATGAAGCTGAAACATATTTTGGAGTATAAGAATAATTCTTTATTTTTTTTTTTTTTTTTTTTGGTGAGTGAATATTGCAGTAAGAATTTTAGGGAGATAACAATGATTTTTCCAGATACGTATCTTACTATTTAACCCATAGCTTGGTGGGAGGAGATAAATTCATACCTTTCCAAAGGGCATTACCTTTCCAAAGGGTATTTATTCGTAAGTGAATGTAACGAATTCGAATTCAGCTTTCAGATTTCTTATTCTGAATCTATATCCATTACACCAGCTGTCAGGAACCATATCAGTCCAAATGTTGTAGTGAGTACAACAAAGTTTATAAGGTCGAATAATTCCTGGAATAATGCCTTTATTTCCTTACAGAACTTGAAGCAACACAATGTAATCAACTGTACATAGGCAACAAATTGAATTAAACTTAGTCAATATTGCCGCCCCGGCTAAGTTATTCTAAACTTTTCTATTGCATTCGCAAATTGAGTAAACGGCTTGTAAAAAAAAAAAAAAATCAGTGGAATTCAATTGTTGGTCAATTTCTTTAATAGAGATACGTATTTATGAACATGGAAGACATGTAGCTATTAAGCTTACAATAATTTGACACAAGGTCATAGTAATAATGAGAATCGAACTAAGTATATTACTTTTACTTATTGTTGCCTACTATGCTTACCATGATCAAACTCACTATACGCGCAAATGGTCTGCGAGAGTAGCTGGGTAACTATATGCGCATGCGTGCACAAACACACATACATACTCTCTCTCTCTCTCTCTCTCTCTCTCTCACACACACACACAAACACAAACAATATAATATATATATATATATATATATATATATATATATATATATATATATATATATATAGGAATGTCTGATTGAATAAATTACAGACATTATGTCTGCTAATTTTTAACAAAATCCATTCATACTCACGAGTAACCTTCTGTGCATTGATATTAAATGTTGAGAGAAATGTGCTATAACTGTAAATTTCTTTTATTTTCATTTTCCAAGTACTTTCGATCTTCTTCCAATACACGGAAGGATATTCGTGAGTGTGAACGGATTCTGTTAAAAATTAGCAGACATAATGTGTGTAATGTATTCAATCAGACATGCTTAAAAGAAAATTTGATGCCTTGATACGCATATATATATATATATATATATAAACATATATATATGCATATATGTATATATATATATATATATATATAGATAGATAGATAGATAGATAGATAGATAGATAGATAGATGACGCCTATTATAAACCTTTAGTAAAATCCACTCACAAGATATTCGTACCTCGGTTGTCATTGCTTTCCTTAATATTCTTAAGTTAATCTTAAATTATACAAATTCTATGAAGTATTTGAGAACAACCATTTAGCGGGTTTTGTATAGAAGAGAATCTAATGTAATATTACGCAGCATACGGCAATTTTTAACATTCTATTTGCCTTTCAGGCCTTTCGAGAGCTTTTGCAATGGCTTCTTCCAGAAAATGAAAAACATCCAATGCTCATGGTACAATTCTAAATTCAATGGGCGTAAGTATGGTCAACCGTGACTGATTGATTTTTAAATTTTGGAATCTTTAAATCAAATATCGCTTATTTATTGGATCAAGAATACAAGATTTTTGTACGCAAACAAGCTAATAAAATTAAACGTATTCTCAATCGTCTTTAGCGAAAGTTATATAAATTATATCTCATTTAAATATTCATGGAGGCCTACCGGACTTTATTCGTAACATATTGTTGGCAACACAAATATAATAGCATCATCTACATGCCAAAAATGGCTAAAAATAATGAAAGACTTATTAGTTAAAACAAAATCAACACTCAATAATATCATCTATGAACATAGACTCAATATCTTGACTGTGTTTTGAAAATGAAAACATTATATAAATACATAATCTATTTCTTGTTAACAGTTAATATATTTCAACCGTGAAAATGGCTAAATGTAAAGCCGAAAGCGCTTGGATAAAAAGAACAATTGGACAGTTTTTATATAATTTATCATCCGAAAAGAAAAAAATTATTAGATCACATGAGAAATTGTATAAAAAACTAGATCAAAGCACCTTGTCTGTCGTATTCAATGAAATGTGCATGAAAGAAGGATTTTATATATATATATATATATATATATATATATATATATATATATATATATATATATATATATATATATATATATATATATATATATATATATATATATATATATATATATATATATATATATATATATATATATATATATATATATAAATTTACATTGAGCACTATTTTGTAAAAATAAAAAAAAATAAATAAATAAAAATATCTATAAGAACACCGGATTTTATATCTTACTGTTCTTTCTTTTTATTTATATACATATATATATATATATATATATATACACACACACAAAAGAGTTTAGCTTAGTTTGACAAACGTGCACAAGTACCCGTATTTATAAATCTTACCTTAGTATCTTACAAAATCTCAAATTCCGATCACGGCTGTTCATGTCACTTTCACAGTTATATTCTTAAAATAGGCATGAACTCAAAAGTTCCTATGATGTATTTCTTCTCAAATCGGTTTGATCTTTTCTAAATCAGAGATCAAAGAACGTAAGAGACTCAGCGTACGTTTGTATCATTTTCGCATGCGCGGCTTAAGAACTTAAGACCTGTCATAATCGTCGCACGCTGCCCGCACACACACACGCACACACACACACAAAACACACACACACACAAAACACACACACACACAAAACATTCACACTCACGATAAACTTGACATTAAGTTGGATTAGCTACATCAATAATATCAGGCTTCCAAGAGCCTAGAGAAAGCGCTAAATTCATAGATAAAACATTTTTTAATCATAATTTCAAAATTAATATTTTTGGGGGAAAATGGCGCGATTGTTGATTCAGAGTCGATATAGAAAATTTATTGATTTGCTAGAAGAATAAGAATTGTTTTTGTGTAGCTGAATTAGTTGCATATTTCCTTTGGCTGTCTGCCATACTCATAGTGCCATTAATATAAATCCACCCCAATCAAAATCAATTCTTCGGCTTGAGAGCACCACGTTTTTTAAAACCAGTTGTATATATCGGATATGTTCTTCCTCAATGACTAATAAGTACTTAAATTTTATTGCTCCATTTTCATTAAACTGTATCTGCAAGAGGCATATTAAACAGATAGATTCGTATATTGGGCACCTGACAGAAAGATAGCAAGGTAGGTAATCATATGAGATCATTTATCACTACCGTGAATTCCTGGCGTACGACGCGTTGTGAAGTGGTTGTGCCGATATGTCACTTTACTTTTTCTCGTAAATTGATTGATTGGTAATGTATCTATTCAGTGGCGAACTGGGTTTAAAAATATTGATTTGCAGGAGACCCATAACTACTATGCTATCATTTTGTTTTCATAACGAATAAATAAAATACATGTGAAAAAAAGGGATACAATTAAAATTGTTGTGGAAAAAACTGTAGTGAATTTGACTTAATAAAAAATACAACATAAATCCATCAGCGGACGAAATATTTCAGCTAATAAAAGTTTTCCTTTTATCTCTGTTCATATATATATATATATAAATGGTCATGGTGATGATGATGGATTAATGAATGAGTGTTTTTATGATGTTATATCATAAGAAACTTTATTGCTTATGTAGACAATAGTAATGAATCTTAGGGAGGAGTGTTGGAAAAATATGGGGTCAGAAAGATCAATTTTAATGGTTTAATGCTATTGTCTATCTGTGTATTTCTTAGTAATTACAGTGTACGTGTTCTATACATATTATTGGCAGTATATAGCAAATGTAAATACAGAATGTTATAATTAAAATTTCAATTTTAATTTTAGGTAATTGGTTGTTATTTCTAAATAGTTTACTGCACAAGTTACACATTAACAGATAGTTCAAAAGCACAATAGAGTATTGCATGCAGTCCGCTATATTAAGCGCAATCATTTGTATTCACTAGATGATCATGCGAATCTGCTACTAGTTGCTTCTGGATCTAATTCATCTAACAATTCCTTTTCAATGGATAGCAACATGTATGATTCAAAATTCTCTTCAGACAGCGAATTTATTAACCATGACTTTATGATCTTTAGCTTTGAAAATGTTTTCTCACTGATAGTGTGCAGATGACTTTATAAAGTTCTTACTCGTTTTTATTACTAAAACAGTTGTCTTTGTTTCGTTATTGCATTTTTATTTGATAAAAGGGGGCCCACTTCATCAGGGACTCGCATGCCATCTGGCAAGTTGACGCACTGGCCAATCCACCATTGTGTCTATATTTATTAAAACCTTACTGAAATGGTGTCTGTTGTCGTATGTTATGTCTCTGTAATAGATTTTAAAGTAAATCTCAATTTCCATACAAAATGGTGGAGTTGAAATCCATATAAAAGCCTCGTTTTCATATCAGGTCTACCTACTAACTTTCGCTCATTTTTTGTTCATGTGCAACTCCATTAGATATTGAAGCTACATAATTTGGACGTCTTCCTATTGATTTCAATTTTTAAAGCTTTATCTAGCGTATCTGTTGATATACCTCATCAGTAGATTTTATGAGCCTTTTCTAGACAATCGATGAGTTATGAAAGATGAATGTATTCAAGACATCAGAATTGTAATGACTCGAAGTTATCTGATTACTTAAACTTATTCTTTTATTTATATCTCACTTATGGCTTATACGTATCGATGTAGCTATATACCTCGATATCAATCGATCGATATACCTACTTAAGACGGTTTGTGAATGCTCGTGTATAAGCTGTGCATATAATACATTTTAATACAAAAAATAAAAATTAAAGCTATACGTAAGGAATCGTTCCTTTAGGTTTAATTCGTTCCTGGTAGGAAGTGAAAAGAATCACTCGATTGGTCTATTCTTATCTATCTATCTATCTATCTATCTATCTATCTATCTATCTAAGTCTGTTCGTATCTCTTTGCACATATAATACGCATATATTTATCAAAGTTTGTTACATTTTCACGGTTTACAAAGAAATGTATTGTTCTTAATATGATAGATTTTTCATTTAATTGAGTTTACTTAAGTCGAATAAAATAGCATGTCATGTAAAAATAACTCCTGATCACCATCACACACACCCCAAAATACCCACACAAACACACGCGTCTTTATTTTGACAGATACATCTCCTGTTTACATATAAGTTACTATTACAATTCAAGAAGGTCAAAATATTTATATAGTAGATAGATAGATAGATAGATAGATAGATAGATAGATAGATAGATAGATAGACCTACAGAGCTAAAGAGATCGAGAGTACAAAAGAGAGAGAAGATTTCGGAAATACATGAGGAGCCTGTAAAAACATTCTCTAATAAAGGATGTTCCAATAACTTGGACCGATTTTAAATGTGAATTAAGTTTAAGCGTCTAATGATTTTTTCTTTTTCTTTCTGAATTGGCGGACATTTGGGCGATATTATTTTTCACACATAACTACCATGACGTAAATATCATGATCCAATAGAGAAATAAATAAATTTTCACCAATAACACTGATTTATTTACTGCTGGCTTTGATATGTCTTAATGAAACACCCATATATAATCCGTCTTAATGAAACACCTTTACTTATGAGTCCATTTATATATTCGCTTGAGCATATGTGTGTATGTGTATCTGTGCATCTGATGTACCAATATCTGCACAAAAAGTTTACATAATATCATCAATTGGAATAAGATTCTCCAAATGTAATGAATGCGCAACAAATGCACAGAGTGCGGCAGAAATACCTCCCACATACACCGCCCTAAATCTTTTTAACACACGCATGCACACACGCGCGCACACGAGTAGTTCAGGAATTGTTGTGGCCTTGTTAGAACCATAAATAAAAACACAAAGAGAGGAATTGAGTTAAACAAATATATTAACAGAAACAGTAATACAAACGAGAGTGTTACAGCAAGAATGTTCGGTCCGACTATCAGAGTTGACTGCTGGAAACTTCCCTCTCCAAAAGGCAGTACCTTCTCCTATTTATAGCTGGGAAAGTCCATGCGTGCATGGGTAAATTACCATAACAGGAAGGATGCAGCCTGACACATAGATATTATATGATCACTGACAAGGAAGATTATCTTTAGAAATTAATATTTGTTGTATAAATAAATGTTTATATTTCCTCACTGACCTGTGAAGTTATTGGCGTATCTACGTATATCCATATGTCTGCATACACATACACACGAACGCACACACACACGCGCACTTGCACAGACGCGGTCTGTGATAAGGCAAAAATGTGTGGAAGAATTTTCCAAATGGAATGGTGAGATTTCTATTATGAAACTAGTGGAGCTTAAGCTTCAGGGGCCCTAGCCTCAGAGGAGCCCCTCAACTAGCTTTTTAAATAAATGAATTTTTAAACAAAATCGATGTTTTTTTTAAGTGATTGTTATCAAAATAAGGCTATTTTAGCGATAGAATCATAAGCCAATGGGTTGAAGTAGCTAATGTTAGCCTCAGATCATGCTCTAATACCCATTTCATATAGCCTCAAAATTTCCCTGTAATTAGACAAATTTTTCGGTGGTGGAGGTTTGCAGTTTTCGAACCTTCAGTTGTAAGGGCTCGTCGAGTACGCCAGAATCTATTCATTTTGGCAGTTGGATCCTCGAATCTATTGTTACAAAAATGTAGGTCCGATACTAATTTAGGATGTATAAAATTTGAAATCTCGACTTTAACCTGAGTTCAAACGCTAACAACAAATATCACTAAACAAATGAATACACACACGCACATATTTTGTAGATACACACACACACATATATATCCATATCCATATCCATATATATATATATATATATATATATATATATATATATATATATATATAAAAAAAATATACGGAAAAACAAACAAAAATCCTAATATGCAATTATGCTGTTTTAATGTTAATATAATGTCAACGTCGGACGTTTCGGTCTAGTAGACCATCTTCAGGACATATTCATAAAACAATTAACATTAGACTATATTTAATTCAACATGAAAAGACGATGGACATAATATATATATATAGTAAAGGTAATAAATCTGTTGGTATATAATACAAGTGTATCCTAGTAATATAAAATATTAAAACTGATCCACAAAAAGAGCTCAATGTATTATTACAGAGCAAATAATTAGTACACAATAAAATCCAAAATTATATGGGGAATAAGCTTATTTCAACTGACGAGATTCGTCATTCTTATTCAACCCCGACATAGAGTGAGTTCGTGCTGGAATTAGAAATTTAACTGTGGCATCTACAAAAAAACAAAACAAAAAAAAACTCGAAAAACTAATACAGAATTTATCCATTTCAATGTTTCAGTCAAACGAAAGGCACGAGACTGTTGTCAAGGGAGATTGGAAGGTATTAGAGGTTTTATAAAATTAAACCCAGACATTAAATTGAGGTTAT